AGCCACTCAACCTCAATCATCAATCAAACCCAATAAAAGATGATGAAACAAACCAAATTAACTAAAACACTTACTCGAAAAATGGTAGATGGCTTCGACGACTTGGAGTGGCAGATGAGAAACCAAGACAAAGAAGTGAACGCTGTAAAACAAGCTCAATCATCAATCAAAACCAATAAAAAAAGACGTGATTAATAGAAACCAAATAGACTAAAACACTTACAATAATAATGGCAGATGAGGAACTTGAAGAAGAATGGCGGCAGATGAGGAACTTGGACAAAGAAGAAGAGCGGCAGATGCGAACTTCGAAGAAGAAGAAGAGCACAGATGAGGAATGAAGATGAAGAAGAAGAGCGGAGATGGGGAATGAAGAGGAAGAAGAAGAGCGGCCCAAAGTGATTTTAAAATTGCCCCAAATTGATTTGACCTAAATCTTGTTTAAAGTACTCATTAAACAATGGACGGGCGTCCATAAGTTAAGGACGCCCGTCCACTGAATAATAGACGAGCGTCCATAATGTTTTTTTTTTTTTTTTTTTTTACAGTATGGATTGTGGACGCCCGTCCAAATGCAGGGACGGTCATCCCTGCATTTTGTATACTATTTTTTTAATTTTTTTTAATTTACAGTATGGACGGGCGTCCATTACGCATCCATAACTAATGAACGGGCATCCCAATATTTTGTATACAATTGTATTTTATTTAAAGTATGGACGGGCATCCATTATATGCGGACGCCTGTCCAATTTTCAGGGACGGTCGTCCATAAACTATAAACGCCCATCCATTATTTTTGTTCATAAACTTTTTTAATTTAAAGTTTGAATGAGCATCCATTAAATGTGGACCTCCGTCCATATAATATGGACGGGAGTCCATCATTCATTTTGCTTTGGACGGGCGTCCATGGACACCCGTCCAAATATAGTGAACGACCGTCCATAGTTGATGAACGGCCATTCACTCATAAAATATTTGTTAACGGAATACGTGACTAGTCTAAGTCAAGTGACACGTAATTCAGTGTACAATTCCGGTGTCCGTAGCATTGTTGTTTTCTTTAATCAAACCTATCTTACACATTTTCATTTTTCACTTGACACCCCCTATCTATGGGTTAAGACATGTCACCCCGTATTGGTTTCGAGATATAGCAACACAACCCCTAACAATTGGTCTTTGTTTTTGTTTTTATGAATCATCAACAGTTAACCAATTTAATTGTTAAAATATCAATTTTACTCCTAATACCATAACATCATGTGATATTTCAAAACTGTAGTTAAACCTATTAATTAATGAAGAAGATTGTGACTATAAATCTTTTTGTTGATGAAAAGTTTAGTTGCCCTTGAATTTAAAAGCATTACGAAGAAAAAAAGATCTTAAGTTTTGACGAAATTATAACTGGACAAAAACTTAAGACAAGCCTGTAAGATTCAGAAGATACAATTTAATAGGCAGATTGAGATTATATCTTCTTTCTTTAAGAAAGTTTCAAATGGTAACCCGTTGGCGAGCAAAGAGGTTTGCTCGCCGGACACTCTGGTTACACAAAAAAAAAAAAAAAAAAAATTTCAAATATTGTCATAATCTGAAACACGAGTGATGTTCAATTTATGACGTCAATTTTCTAATTTCTTCATATAAATCAATGCATTCCAATATTCTATACCACATTTTACATGCAGACCCCTATAATTGGAAATCCTTATTATTTCAGGAAAATAAGATTTATTAATTAAATTTGATATCATAAACTTTGGATCCATCGAGTCCGAAACTTAGGACAGAAGGCATACAAATCAAACCTTTTTGAATATTTTCTTTGAGGAAGTGGATTGCCACTTCAATGTGCATCGTTTGATCATGTTGCATAGGATTATGAGAGATGCTTTATTGTCATAATATAGTTTCATAGGTTTAGACATTGGAACCTTCAACTCTTCAAGTAATTTTTCAACAATAATAATTCACAAACTCCTTGTGCAACTGCTCTAAATTCAGCCTTAACACTACTCCTAGCAAAAACAGAGTGTTTTTACTTCCACAAGTTACTAAATTGTCTCTAACAAATGTACAATAGCCAGAAGTTGATATTTTGTCACTAATTGAACCAGCCTAGTCAACGTCAGTGAATGCCTCCACCTGCATACAGTCATTTTTTCCCAAAAGGCAAACCTTTTCCTAGAGTCCTCTTCAAGTATTTAAGAATTTTGTAAGCAACTTCTAGTCTGGTAGGAGAGAGATAAATTAGCTTGCCCATAAGTCGCTAATATTGTTCCTTAGCTCTTGGTTGCCCTTTAGTTTCATTACCAAGTCTATGATTAGGATCAATCGGTGTTTCAGCAAGTTTACTATCAAGTAGACCGGTTTCCTTAAGTAAATCAAGGGTACATTTTCTTTGAGAGACAAATATCCATTTCTTGGACCTGGCTATCTCCATACCTAGAAAATACCTTAGAGGACCTAGATCCATAATCTCAAATTCAGTAGCTAGAATTATTTTTTATTTTTCTATCTCAACACCATCATTGTTTGTCATGATGATGTAGTCAACATACGCTATAAGAATAGTAGTTTTACCATCTTCCATGTGTAAGATCTGCTTGACTTTGTCAATAGCTATTGTGAATAATCCAGCCTTTTGGGAGCGATTGTCACAGGATAGTTTTGGTACTGATACACTGTTCTTTGCATTCTACTGTCAACGGGTATTATGTATATTGTATATATTTTTTATGCCATTTTTGGTGATATACTTCCATTAGTTTATTACCAAGCCAATTGTTTTCTATAGAACACATACCAACAATCTTTGGCTTCAAAAGAGCCAAAAAAGCAATCTTCACCAACTTGCACACAACTGGATCATTGTTCTCTATGAACAAGAAAATAGTAACTACTTTAATTTGGTGATGTTTTGTTCAACACATTCAACTGATTGCTATTTGCTATAGAGGAAGAATTGATAATTTCCATTCATATCAAAATTTACCAATGCAAAGCAATCACACACTTGTGTGCGGGTGTGCATAAATATGTGTGTGTGCAACGGAAAAAGTGCACATGCACTAGCATGTAGATCCATTTTGTTTCACCCACAACATTTTTTATGAATACAATGACACCAATATCTTCCTTCCTCCTCCCAAAATCACTTGGAGGAGAGTGACCTATTAACAGTTAATTTGATTCAAATAAGAAACACTTCACTATAATCACATTCATCAACCAATACTTCATACCTTAGCCACTCAACCTCAATCATCAATCAAACCCAATAAAAGATGATGAAACAAACCAAATTAACTAAAACACTTACTCGAAAAATGGTAGATGGCTTCGACGACTTGGAGTGGCAGATGAGAAACCAAGACAAAGAAGTGAACGCTGTAAAACAAGCTCAATCATCAATCAAAACCAATAAAAAAAGACGTGATTAATAGAAACCAAATAGACTAAAACACTTACAATAATAATGGCAGATGAGGAACTTGAAGAAGAATGGCGGCAGATGAGGAACTTGGACAAAGAAGAAGAGCGGCAGATGCGAACTTCGAAGAAGAAGAAGAGCACAGATGAGGAATGAAGATGAAGAAGAAGAGCGGAGATGGGGAATGAAGAGGAAGAAGAAGAGCGGCCCAAAGTGATTTTAAAATTGCCCCAAATTGATTTGACCTAAATCTTGTTTAAAGTACTCATTAAACAATGGACGGGCGTCCATAAGTTAAGGACGCCCGTCCACTGAATAATAGACGAGCGTCCATAATGTTTTTTTTTTTTTTTTTTTTTACAGTATGGATTGTGGACGCCCGTCCAAATGCAGGGACGGTCATCCCTGCATTTTGTATACTATTTTTTTAATTTTTTTTAATTTACAGTATGGACGGGCGTCCATTACGCATCCATAACTAATGAACGGGCATCCCAATATTTTGTATACAATTGTATTTTATTTAAAGTATGGACGGGCATCCATTATATGCGGACGCCTGTCCAATTTTCAGGGACGGTCGTCCATAAACTATAAACGCCCATCCATTATTTTTGTTCATAAACTTTTTTAATTTAAAGTTTGAATGAGCATCCATTAAATGTGGACCTCCGTCCATATAATATGGACGGGAGTCCATCATTCATTTTGCTTTGGACGGGCGTCCATGGACACCCGTCCAAATATAGTGAACGACCGTCCATAGTTGATGAACGGCCATTCACTCATAAAATATTTGTTAACGGAATACGTGACTAGTCTAAGTCAAGTGACACGTAATTCAGTGTACAATTCCGGTGTCCGTAGCATTGTTGTTTTCTTTAATCAAACCTATCTTACACATTTTCATTTTTCACTTGACACCCCCTATCTATGGGTTAAGACATGTCACCCCGTATTGGTTTCGAGATATAGCAACACAACCCCTAACAATTGGTCTTTGTTTTTGTTTTTATGAATCATCAACAGTTAACCAATTTAATTGTTAAAATATCAATTTTACTCCTAATACCATAACATCATGTGATATTTCAAAACTGTAGTTAAACCTATTAATTAATGAAGAAGATTGTGACTATAAATCTTTTTGTTGATGAAAAGTTTAGTTGCCCTTGAATTTAAAAGCATTACGAAGAAAAAAAGATCTTAAGTTTTGACGAAATTATAACTGGACAAAAACTTAAGACAAGCCTGTAAGATTCAGAAGATACAATTTAATAGGCAGATTGAGATTATATCTTCTTTCTTTAAGAAAGTTTCAAATGGTAACCCGTTGGCGAGCAAAGAGGTTTGCTCGCCGGACACTCTGGTTACACAAAAAAAAAAAAAAAAAAAATTTCAAATATTGTCATAATCTGAAACACGAGTGATGTTCAATTTATGACGTCAATTTTCTAATTTCTTCATATAAATCAATGCATTCCAATATTCTATACCACATTTTACATGCAGACCCCTATAATTGGAAATCCTTATTATTTCAGGAAAATAAGATTTATTAATTAAATTTGATATCATAAACTTTGGATCCATCGAGTCCGAAAATCCCGAAGTGCTTTTCATGTTCATCCCCGCTCTTTCCATTCTCATCAAACAGATCAAACAAGTAAACTTCAACTCCCTCGCCAGGCCTCTTCGGTGTCCCAACACCACCCACAGCGCTTCTCACCACATTCTCATTATACGCCAATGCATTTTCCTTACTCGCCGCCACACCACCGCTCGTCGGCCACCCCGTCTCCGTCACCACTATCGGAACTCCCCCGAACCCTTCTCTCTCCATTGCATACACAAACGCATCGACGCTTGCGTCAAAAAGATTGCGATACGTTAAGCCGCCGTCTCGAAACGCTTCGTCGCTTCTGAACAATGCATAGTCTAACGATATGTACTGTAAACTGCTGGTGTAGCTGAAGTACGGGTAGATATTAACCATGAAAGGTGATTTAGTATCGGATAAGAACTGAAGGAGGGGCACAATAGAAGATTTTATATCAGGATCGAAGGTTCCTGAAGATGGAGGATATGAGATTGAGAGAACTGAAGCTGCCTGTGGTGAAGATAACTTGATTGAGTTTGCAAGGTTTGCGGTTTGCAGAGCTTGGTAAAGATTATTCATTGCGGGTACTACATAGGGAGTGTAATATGGATCTTTGAGAAAGACTTCATTACCAACAGCGATGTAACGGATTTGGTTCGAAGGTATGTGAGAGAAGATGTTGTTTTGAAGCCACTGGAGGGAGAAGACGGGTCCCCCTGAGGCAAGTTCAGGGAGGATTTCGTTAGGAACACCGATAATGAGGCTGATTCCAGTGCCTGAAAATGATTTTAACGTGGAGAAATCGGGGTTGAAGATGCGTATGTTTGATATGCCATTGGATTGGAGAAGGTTGATGGCAGTAGGTGGCGGTGGAAGGTTGTTCGCCACCCGCCCATAACATATTCCAATCGGTGCAGCAGCTGTTGGAGAAAATGGAAGAAGAATAAAGAGGAGTAATAGCTGAGATAGCATTGAAAATTGAACTAGTGAACCCCACACTTTAGAGTATGGACTCAAATTGAGCTAGCCTTTTATGGGTTGATGAGTGAATATAGAACTCATATATATGGTTATTGTGTCGAAAGGATGGTATTTATCAGGTATAAAGGGGTTCAAAGTTGTGTTTTGATGTTGGTTTAATTTAGGTCCAAAGCTCATTCTGTGTTTTGCTTTCTAATATAATTATATTCGGGTGGGGTTTTCGTTTTGGTGTAGCCTGTTATAAAAATTAAATAGTTTCACTATGGCTCTGGCATGGCATGGCATGCATTGGGAAGTAGAACATACTAACTTCTGTTTAAGAGAGTAAACAACTCTTTTCTTTCAGGTCACTTCCCAAACTTTGAAAGCTTTGAAGATCTTAGCCATAGCATTTAATTATAAATTCCACGATGGTAGTTCCAATTTTAGACGATATCTTTGAAGAGACCGATAATGTGATCTTAGATGGACCAATACTGATAATATTCTAACGCGACTTACGTCCTTAAACTTCTAATTTCTCTCAACCATTAATCTAGCAAGTAATACAGTGAATACAGATAGGATTATGGCAAATCTTGATTCCAAATCTTTACTGAATGGAATAAAAGAAAAACCAAAAATGTTACATACTGCATCTAATGGGTGCCTCGTAATGGCATAGTAATCTAACCCTGTTTAGGTATGAAAACTTTTAGTTTTAAACTAATGACTTTCAGATTATTGTTTCACACATGTCACATCCTGTTAAAGATATTTTCATACTTAAAATTTTCTTATATGATTTCTCTAATCACCAAAAGATATATCATCAAACTAGCTCGGTCCATTATAGGAGAATCTTCTTTGTAAAAGAAAGGAATAAAGACGACAATTAAGCAGAGAATGACCCCATTAAACAGATAAGCTTCAGTCCATATAGGAAAATGCAGCGTTACACAGATCCCTAAGTTGAATTACCATATCTTGTCTTCTTGAAATTGCTGCCAGCCATATAACTTTGACCAATTAATAATCCTAAAGTACCTGACCTCCCATTAAGATTTTTCTTCATTACATGTAACTGATCCAACACAGAATCACAGAAATCTCTCATTTTCTGGGAAAGAAAAGGGTTTCTATTGTTTAATCAACCATATTCTGCCAACTCCTGTGAACATTATTAGCCATAGATTAGTTTTGAATCCACAAGATGTTTTGAACTGGCGACAGATTTATATGATTGTGTGCATGATTTCTCTTTGCACAGACCATTCCTCCATTCAAATGATTGGATGAGAGTGCCTCGTAATTTGTAGTTGTACCTAAAACTAAAACTTTGCTTTTTATTGAGGGCCATGAAATAATGCGTGTCCAAAGGCCCCAAAATCTTACTTTCTCTCCATACAAAGCAAATGCAAGTGCCGCTTCTTCCTCAGAAAACAAGACAAGGAATAATCTTTAGTTATCTCTTTATTAAAGAACCTTCCTTCCTTTTTTGAATTGAAAAATAACCCTATTGCTCACACTCGAAACTTAAACCCCATTATACATAACTTCTCCTTGGAGGCAACTCTTACTTGTTTCATGAGTTTTTCCCAAACCCTCTCTTTCTCTGCACTCAAAGAACAAGAGCTGCAGACTATTCTTACTAAAACCCGCCTCCACCATTTCCACTCTATCAACCAATCTAAAACATGTCCATGTCATCTCAGCCACAACAGCCCGCCGGCGGCGTCGTTTACCCAAACACTGTCACAAGACCACCGCCCAATTCCCCGTCATCCCACTCGTCAGATGGATCGTTTGGGACGGTGTTCATCGTCCTGGCTGTTATTGTTGTTATATCAGCTATAGCTTGCTGTCTCGGACGTCTCTGCAACCGACGCAATCAGAAACACAAACCCCACAAACAAAGCCACAACTCTCACCCCCGACAAGGCCAAGCGGGGAACATGGATTTCCAGCACTCGATCTCGAAGCAGCAAAGCCACGGCTTTCGTCCCAGAGAAAGGGAAAGAGACATAGAGTTTGGGTTCGATAAGAATATTGCAGCTTCGAAACCTGCTGGGAATGGACAAACCAGAGGTTTCAAACAGTTTGGAAATGGAGACCTCAAGTTTGAACCCAAAGTTGGCGGTGTATAAACAATAAATGGAACCAAATGAGGAGCTAGCTTTAGTACGAGATTTGACCTCCTCAGATCAGAAGTAGTTATTGTATAACTCATTTTTAAGCTGCTATTTATGTTTGTATTATGTAATTATTTATTGATTATGATACTCTGACATCGTATTCATTATATCTTATGATATATTGTAAGGTTGAGATGCAGAGAATGTTATTGCTTAAAAGTATTAGTCAATTACTTACTGCTCATTTCTAAGCCTCTTGCATAACATGCAATTCCTTAACCAGGCAGTAAGAATATTGTCATTCAATGATACCTACGAAGATCCGGTTGTTCTTATTTGGTTGCGGGTTATCCCTTATTACTGAAAGTTTATCACGTTTGGTTATCAAGCAATATAAAATTTCGATAATCTTTCAAAACCAATAATAATTACTGTTAGTTATATAGATGGTAATCTAATTACTTCTATTTTCTTAGGTATGGTAAGATTACTTAGTAATGTTAATTTTGTTACAATTTTATCCCTTAGGGTGCACGTTTGGATCGGGGGCATATAAGATAACAGAGGTAATCTTCGTTTATTTTGCAAAATTTCGGTATTTAGTTTGTAAGCAATAAAATATTACAGGTATCTTTTATTGTAAATATTATTTATTGTTGGTAATGTAAGGAGTAATCCAATAACCTCCCCAAGGGGTGTTATTAAAAGATTACCGAATAATCTGATTTTTATACCTATTTTGCCCTTAATTAAATACCATTTTGGATACAATTGTCCTCAAATGTCTACCAAATAAAAATTAGCCCAACCCCCCTATATTTGAGAAATTAGCTAAAACACCTCAGCCACAAAAAAATTTAAAAGTTAACAAAATATCTCTAGCCACCCAAGACCACCGCCGACCATTACTCATCATAGCCGACCGTTGGCATCAATCAACGTAATGGCGCATGAGCAATGGGATCTGGGCGGTCGTGTACCGGCAAGGCCTTTTCCAGCCATGGATCATAGATCCATGGCCAGAAACGGCCAAATTTGGCTGTTTCACAGCCAAATATTTGGCACAATCAGCCATATACAGCCACTCATGCGCCATCTCGTCGATTGCTAGTGGTGGGTGGGGTGATTTTGTTATAAATTAAAGTATTATATGACTGGGGTGTTTTAGTAAAATTTCAAATGTATGGGGTTAAAAAAATATTCAAAAAAAATTTTATATTAATATTTAAAAAAGACGACAATTTAGTAATCTATATAATATACCTACCCATTTATCCTCCCAACCAAACATATTATTTACCAATTTATTTAAACCAACCAAATACATTTCCTAAACATTCCCAGTAATCCTCAAGGTGATCTATCTTTTCGTTAATATAACATCCCCCTATAATAAAACATTATATGATCCAAACGCCTCATTATTAATAAATTTTTTGGACAAAAAAGCCTTTATTTTGGAATTAATTTGCATGAACCTGTCATTAAAATTTTACCCCTAATTAATTAAGTTTTTTAACAGTAATTCCCTTGTATTTAAAATAAATTACAGGCCACCCAAGACCACCACCACCCGCCAGCAACCACCGTTGGCCACTAGCCACCGTGGCCAAAACGGCGCATGACCAATCGGATCTGGCTAGTCGTGCACTGATCTGGCCGTTAATAACGATCAAAATTTGAATGTTAATGGCTAGATTATGGTTGTAGATCTAGTGAGAAACGGCCATATCAGCTCATGACTAGCTAGATCTAGCCGGTCGTGCACCGTTCCGGTGACTACCGACTGACGTTCGACGGTGGTGGTCGACAATCGACTATCCTCTTGGGTGGTTTGGGTGTTTTAGTTAATTTTTAAACTTTTTATTGTGAGAATGTTTAGCTAAATTAACAAATGCAGGGTTTAAAAAAATAATAATAATATTATATTATTAAAATAGAAAGGCAACTTAGTAATCTATATAATATACTTACCAATTTATTCTAATCTAACCAAATAAATTTTCTTAAATATTTCGAGTAATCTTCAAAATAATTTATTCTCCTAATAATATAACACTGATACAACATTTAATGAACCAAATCGTTTTTTCATGTGCCAAATTTGTGAAGCCCAAATGTTACACCCAGCCCGTCAACTTAAGATGGATGTGAATGAAGTGATGATTCTTAAAAGCCGGCCCCCTTCCACTCTATAAACTATAAACTATGAAGTTAGCCGATATGAACAACAAAACAAAACATTAAATAATAAACCAATTACAGTAGTTGGGAAAGACACAGATACCAAGTGCAAGACCATTTCACATAGTAATTTTGTATCATTGCACATACCAGATTTTACCGTATTTGTTAATACAACATTTCCAACCACTCCACAACACATCCACCTTTATTACCAGCAAATTCAAGAGACGAATCCTGGAGCGTGCATCGAACCCACAACAATAGAGAGTGTGACAAGCTTCATATTCCTTCAGTTACGGATAGCTATCAATGGAGCAATTTTTTAACCGACTCTGGCAAAAAGTAATCAGTCAAAAAACTGCAAGCTCAGAGCGTTGCAGATATCAGCTGTCGAAGATTTGTTACTGCTAAGATGATACTCTACCTCACTCTGCCTAAGTTTGTTACACTTGTCTGCTACCATAATGCTCATCTACTTTTCTTTTTAATGGAAACAGAGGAACACATTCTTCCTAAACAATTTCAAATTTATTCTAAAACATGCGACATTTGGAGACAGCAGAGGAGTGGCTCAGGCCTTTTGTTGTTTCAAAGGCTTGGGACTACTGTGTTGTATGGAAGTTGGGTGATGATCCTTCAAGGTATTTGATTTGTGTGGTACTTACGATTAGACTGGTTTCAAACTCTTTTAATTAATGAAATGGTAATTTTGTAGGTTCATTGAATGGATGGGTTGCTGTTGCAGTGGAGGAGGTGGTAGTTATGTTAATGTAAATGTTAAAGAGGAAAGAGAAGTAGAGGTTCCTCTTTGCAGGGATGTTCACTTTAAGCATCCTGTAAGGACTAAGGCTTGCGAGGCTCTTGCCCTTTTACCTTCTTTCGTGCCTCTTTATTCTGGGTATATCACTTTCTTTCTTCATCTTTCACTGTTTCTTAACCGTAATATACTGAGAAAACTTTTATTTACTTTTTATTTTTTATATGGGAATGAAACCAGGATCCATGGTGAGATGGTGACAGCAAAAAAACCCAGGTGGCTTAGCCATGCCCATGCCTCGGACTCAATTCCATCACATGTGAGCTCTTTATATATACGAAATTCATCTCTTAATTTGGTCATATTTTATCACCAACAGGACACACACAGAGCCTTGGAATTATGGATTTAAGTTTGTTAATGACACATTCATTCAATTTAGCATTTGGGGTAATTGGCCTGATACAAAGAAAAATTATATGGAGTTTGCAATCTGTGGTAAAAGAATTTGCTATTATCAATTTAATTTGTTTTGATTATGATGATTGTTAGTTTGGCAGGAATCAATTGGAACCCGAGTTTTTGTCCCAGTTTTTGGTGGTCTTATTGAGCTCTTTGCTGCCAAAAACGTAAGATTTTGTTTGGGTTATTACTATTTCCAACTGTGTGACTGACATATTTATTATTCTCAACTAATGAAACTATAATTCCTATTTTCAGATACCTGAAGATCCGAAGTTCCTAGAGTTAATAATAGCTCACTGTAATTTCTCCACAGAACAAGTCTTGAGTGCAGGAAGCTATACGAATGTGGATCTTAATGAAAGTTTTGATCCTTTGCTGGAAGAGAACTCACAAACTTGCCCTCTTCCACTTCATTTGTTAACTTTCATTCCGAGGATACATGTTCTTCCCCGAGTAACCCAATTTAGTACCCATCTTAGCTATGAAGGATCATCCAGTAGTTACAATGCTTCAAATGAAAATCCATTATTTGACTCAAATTATGGCTATGCTCCTCTAAATGGGCACCTGCAGCAGTCAATTAAGAAATCTTCTAGCCATAAAAAATCCAAGTACGACAACAATGTCTTAAAAGAGCAAACAGGGTTAGTACTGGGTTGTGACAAAAAGGCTCTGAAAGGTATTGAGGGAGCTATCCGGAAGCCAGGGAGGGAACACTGCCATTCCAAGAATCTTATCACAGAAAGGAAGAGGAGGAACAGGATTAACGATGGACTCTTAGCTTTACGCGCTTTAGTCCCCAACATATCCAAGGTTAAAATTTGTCAAAAATAAGATAATAAATATTGATTCTTTCTTATTGTTTATCTTTTAACATTATGTGGCGAATGAATTCTTGTAGATGGACAAAATTTCTATTCTGGGAGATGCAATTGAATATATAAAGGAGTTGCTGCAGGAGATTAAGAACCTCCAAGATGAGCTCAAGGAAATTGATGAACAGGACTGTCATAAGGAGAATGCAGAAATTAAGCCTTCAAAATTAGATGCGTTGCGTGAAGGCACCACAAACATGTCTCCTATTGAGCACAATAAAAATTCCTCCTGCTGTGGCGAAAACAGAAAGACAGAGGTATCAAGTACAACTTGCAGAACCTCAAATTTAACTGCTGTCATTGTTCTTGCAGCTCTCCTTATGTTCTTATTATTTAATTTATGCAATGAATATTTTCTAGGTGCAAATAGAAGTGAACCATATCAGCAAAAGAGATTTCTTGATAAAGTTGTTATGTGATCAGAAGCAAGGTGGATTTGCGAAGTTGATGAAAGCTATAAATTTTTTAGATCTTCAAGTAGTTGATGCCAATGTTACCACATCTAATGGCAAGGTCCTGAACATTCTCAGGGTTGAGGTAATACAGGATAGCTCAGTGGATGTGCTTACGCTTTTATAGATCATTAGATCTTTGTCGAATATATATAATAACATCTTTTTTTTTCTTTTTTTTTTTTTTTTCTTATTTTCTGTAAAGGCACATAAGAGGGAAATTCCACTGAAGAAGTTGAGAGACTCATTGATCGAGCTAACAGGGCAGACAAATCAGCTAGTAGATATAAAGTAAAGGGTTCAGAGGTTCTAGGAAAATTGAGGGCTTCTCCATTCAATTAACATTGTGTTCTTATGTTTCACAAGCCTCCAACAGCTATGATGTTTGAATATCTACGAACTTTAGTAGGGTTTTTTTTCTTCTGTTGGTTTCTTTAAGGGTTTAATTTCACTAACTGGATTTGGTATGTTGTTATCCTTTCATTTATACAAAAGTTCAAGGCATTCTCAGTCTGAACTAATACGACAGTTTCATTTTCTTCAATGGCTTTTTATGTATATGAAACTTGAGCAATTTCAATATTAATCAGTCTTGCGAGATTTCCTTTTTTGCTTTTTTACCATAATATGAGAATGCAAACTTGTTGCTGATAAAACAGATGTATGGGGGAAGAATTTCTACTGCTATATGCCTAAAAGAAATGGATAAAATAAAATAAAGTAAAAAAGAAAACATATGGAGTAATATATGTATATAGTTTCATGTTGCTATAAAATCAAACTTTACATCAGTCAGAAATTTTTCAAGAAGTCATTCAAACGGAACGACCTGTCTAACGCCAATAAGATTTAATCACCCAAAAAAACAAGATTTGAACTCACACTTTAAAAGCTTCCCGATACTCTGCTAAATCATTTGAAGGAGCTAAAGAATGCATCACTATTTCACATGAAAATAGATTTGTTGTACACGCTAATTAATTCGGACCAAGTCAAGCAAAGGCAGCTCAATCAGATACGGCCTTTCCCAGCCAGTATATGTGAAGTCGGAAGTGGAATTTAGCTGGTGACACATCAGGAAATTCCTTAGAATTAAAGCCGGCGACTATAGCGCCCCTGAGGTCCACTATATTTATGCTCTCCAGTATTGTTCATGGCCCGAGTTTCCGACTCACCACTGGTGTAATCACTTGAATTGTTTCCGGACTTGACTGAATTTACGGTTCCATGTGACATTTCCCTGGTAGAGTATTCTCCACTGAATTCAGAACTGTCTCCACCTCCAAGTGCCATTTTCCTGAACATCATAATGTCTTGATTGTATTGACCGGAATCGTAAACAGTGCTCTGACCATATTTCACCCCATTGCTTAGATCCGACATTTCTCCTTCACTGTCCAATGCTCTCACAACCTAGAAGAGGATAGACAAAGAAAGAAAGTAGTTGTAAAACCAATGCTCAAACCTCTATTGCCATTCAGCATAACATAATAAGAATGGCAGAAACAAAGACAGATCAACAAACACACTGAGAGACCCACCTGAGCCATGCGGGGCCTCTTTGGAGCAGAATGGCGAACACATGCAGCAGCTGCCTCAGTCATTCTGAACACTTCAGCCTCCACATAATGTTTTTCAAGCCTTGGATCAACTAATTCACCAAAATCACCGGTTTCAAGGGCCCGCATAAGTACAGGACGAGCCTGCCAAAGTCATCACAACACATTGTCATAAATGAATAAAACTAAAATATAACCATCATTCTAGATTCTAAATATAAGTCCTGTGGAGAACCAAAAACAATCAACAAGAACTTCTTTTGAGATGATGAAAGAAACAAATAATTCGTACCCATTCAACTAAACTCTCATCCCCCAGAGGTTGAGTTGGATCAACTGGCTTACGCCCAGTTAAAAGTTCCAGAAGAACAACTCCAAATGAGTATACATCTGATCTATCAGTCAGCTTTCCACTTGATGCGTACTCTGGTGCTAAATACCTGAAACCCATATAAAATTACGATTACCATTAATTATATTTATTGACATTGCAGGTACTAGTTATTAGCGCTTGCAAAAAGCTCCAAGTGCCCCAAAACAGAAGGAAGAGGACATCAAATAAACAGAAGACCTATAATCTACAATTTAAACCTACCCGAACGTCCCCATTACTCTAGTTGAGACATGGGTCTGAGTAGTGTCGTTTAGTTTGGCAAGTCCAAAGTCTGCAACCTGTATTTGAAGCAATTCTCACATTATAATTTAGAAATTCTTAAAACAGAAGAAACATCTTAAGAAGCGTAGAAAGTGAAGAGAACACTAACCTGTGCTTCAAAATCATCATCCAACAGAATGTTTGCTGACTTAATGTCCCTATGAATGATTTTTGGATGACCTACAAATCAATTGAATATAATTTGGTGGTTTAGATATTGAACTTATGTTTAACTCAAACTTGAAACTTTTAAAGATGACTTCATGTTTTATTTGTCCTTTTTCCTGAAAAGTAAAGCTAATTTTAGGAAATTAAACTGGAGGCAACAATTATGCCTAATATTCAACTATCTGTCATCAATTGACCCACCACCAAAGGATTAACAGAGCCAAGCATAGAAAGAAAAAGACTAGTTTCATTACTACATGATTTATGGAGTGGGGAATAATTTGGCGAGTCAGAAAGAATGAATAACATGGAATTAGACATTGCTATAAAATAGAAAACATAGAATCATAAGCCACAGCAGAGAAGGCACAGAGAGACATACAATCTTCATGTAAATATGCCAAACCCTTTGCGGCCCCTATAGCAATCTTGACTCTTTTGCTCCAATCCAGCACAGTTTCACCTGGTAACACAAATCAATATCTAACTTAGCTGGTTATATAATATGAGAACAGCAAATTTGATAGGTTGAAAAGACTGTGTTACCATGCAAATGATGCTCTAAAGTGTTATTCGGAACAAACTCATAGATAAGCAATCTATTACGATCAGCAATGCAATAACCCACCAAAGACACTAGATGACGATGATGAACACGACTGATAATATCAACTTCAGCCCTGAATTCTCTCTCCCCCTGTCCACTACCTGCCTTGAGTTGCTTGACGGCCACCTCTTTCCCTTCTGGCAGTTTCCCCTTATAAACACATCCAAAGCCTCCCTCGCCAATAACACTTTCACGGGCGAATCCATTTGTTATTTCCATCACTTCTTCATAGGTGAAAAAGCTCTTGGATCCGCCTATGACACCAGAGTCTGATCCCCCTCCAGGGTAACTAGTTCCTCTTTGACTTCCGTAGCTTCCTACTGGAGATGGCTGAGCTTGGTTACCATAGTAGGGATCCATTGCTCCAGAATGTGCCATCATGTATGGCTGACTATAGTAATATCCGTCTACACGAGAAGTATTAAAGGAAAAAAATCGATTAGACCATATCATACAGCAATAAAAACGTCGAAAACAGGCCCATATTTTACCTGATTTTTCAGGAAAGTTACTAGGAGGAGGCATGTAATGGCTGGCATAGGTGTCTCGTCCCCTTTTCTTCCGCCTCACCACAAAAAATAAGGCAATAAATGCGACCACAAACACACCGGCTACTGTTGCACCAACAATAGTGCTTTGATTAACTGTACTCGTTGATGATGAACTGGATGTCGATGAAGGGGTGCTTACTGTCCTGGAACTGGAAGAAGAATTAGTGGGTGAGGGTGATCCTGGTGGGGTTTTAGTATTAGGAGAGCTGGATGATGTTAGAGGACCACGTGCTGTTGATGATGAATTAGTGGGCGGTGGAGTGATTCCAGGAGTAGTTGATGAAGATGGAGGCGTAGGGGTAGTATGTGCTGGTGGTGGACTCCATTTAGCCCCTCCAGATTCAGCAACTCCATTTGGTGGGGTCGGATTTGTTGGTGATTTTTTTTCCTCAGGAGGAGGAGGAGATGAAGATGGAGATGGAAATGAAGATGAAGGAGGAGGAGATGCTTGATCGGATGAAGGAGGTGGGGATTTTTGTGAACTAGGAGGAGGAGAATTTTGTGGTGAAGACGGTGGTGATGATGATGATGATGACGATGGCGGTGGTGAAGACGGTGGTGGTGATGATGGCGGTGGTGAAGATGGTGGAGGTGAGGACTTATTAGGAGGTGGTGACTGATCTGGTGGAGGACTGCTATTTTTTTCAGGAGGTGGCGATGAAGGTGGCGGAGAACTTGGGCTCGGTGGTGGTGACGATGCGGTAGAATTGTTGTTATTATTATTATTATTATTATTATTATTACTGTTATTGTTAGAACTAGTACTATTATTATTGTTATTATTGGCCGGCGGAGGCGCATTCGCCTGCTCAGATGATGTTTCTGAATCTGCAAGCGGGGTAGGCGGTGAGTTATCTCCCTGAGATGTTGAATTATTTGATGGAGGACCCGGCGCTCCCGCCGAGTTTGACATTATTCTCCTTCTCGTTTTTTAATCTTCCTTCTTCACAAGTTCAATCTTTTGTTTTTCAAGCTGTCCTTCCTCCTGGTTGTAGTATCACAATATAAAAAAGGGAAAGATTTGTTTGTGTTGCTTGAAAATGACTGTAAAAACAAACTATAAATCAATGTGGAATTGAATGAAAGAATGGAACCTGGATGTTGGGAAACGGAGAAGCTATGAAGGGTGACAATGGAGGAAATGGGTAACCATTTTTTATTTGTCTGAGAACCTTGGCACCACGACGTACGCGTAGGGAGAGAGACGTAGGTAAGTACAGAGCAATAAACAACCACCCTACAATTTCTCAATCCTTTGTTTAATTTTGAGGTTTATATGTTTTATTTCATCCTCTTTATCACTTGCTGGCAGGATTTCCGTTACTTAACTACCTCTCTCTCCTTCAATTTCGGGTTACCGCGCATCATCTTCTTAGTACAACTCCTTTCGGGTTAATAAAAGCCCTTTACCCGCTTCCGTTTTGCCACATCAGATTGGGCTATAAAGTTAAACTATCTCTTCTTTCTGTTTAAGTTTTTCCTATACCTTTTCCCTCCTCTATTTCATTTTTATTCGTCTAAGACTGTTTAGTTAATTAATCTATTCTGTTTAAAAACTATCAAAAATCTCCTTAAAAATATTAAAACCCTAAGGGATTAGCTTGACATTTAAGAAGGTTTGCTCCTTACTTGAGTTTCTGGATTCAAAATTTAAGGTCACCTATCACAATAACATTGTGATTTAACTAGTTTTTTAGGATTTAGTAAGGTGTTCAACAGACTCCAAGATTAGTTGAGGTATACGTAAACTGACCTAAACATTTCGATTACCAAAATCTTACAAAATTATGAAAAACCCTTAATACTGACCCTCTATGAGATCGATCAACTCTACTAATTGCCAAATCTATCCATGTTAACTAAATTTACCCTTTAACAGTTAGTAATAAATTTCAAATTCTCATTACATGATTTCATTTTATTATTTTATTTTTATGTACATCTCATCTCAAATAGTCTAGATTTGATTTTCATGATATTGAATGATCAGAATTTTTCAGTACTTTATAGTAACCAAAAACATTTGTGCACAAATCCAGGAATTAGATGAATTGGTGACCATTGTTTCTTTATAAACCAGTTATAACAAGAGGGCATTGAGCTGCCATTGGAATTTACAAATTTATTTTATTTTTTAATGGTGACGACATTGTTGAATTTTAAGATTATCATATGTATAGAAACGATTGAGAGAGAGAGCATTTTCAGAATTTCAAATGGTTTCATGGAATTTGAGAGAAGAAGAGACGTGTATTAAAAGAAGCAAATAGATTAAATTTTCACTTCCAACAATCAATAGCAAACCGATAAAAAGGTATGAAATTATAGCTCACAATCTTGTCCATTTCAATGGTTCATGTCCGATTTATGTACCAAGAGAATGCTTATTCCCTTTCAGATATTCATTGGGTGCGTTTGTTTTAGTATTTTAGATAATATTTTCGGAAAAGTAAGAGTTTGGTGATAATAACGAGATAAGATTTGAAAATCAACAAAAACACCCCATAAGTTTGTTAATTTACTCAACACCCCTATAATAAAAACATTAAAAATTATAAAAACACCCTCACCTACCCGTTAAATACCGACAGCCAGCCACCACCACCGGAGGGTGGCTGGAGTAGCTGTATCAGCGCACGACCGGGATATGACCGACCCTGCGCCAAGATAGCCTTTTCCAGCCAGATCTACTGTGGGTCTGGTCAGAAAATGCTAGATTTATGGCTAGATTTGGCCGTGTTTGGTCATTGCCGTCATTGACGACTAGCTACGACCAAAGATCTGGTTGTCAATGGTCAGATCTTTGGCAGTAGATTTAGCCTTTTTCGGCCAGATCTACAGTGGATCTGGTCAGAAAAGGCTATATCGGTACACTACCAGCTAGATCCAGCCAGTAGTGTGCCATTATACCAAATTCCAGTCACCTTCCCTCAGTGATGGCCGAAATCTAGCAAATGTGGATGGATGAGGGCATTTTTATCAATTTTTAAACTTTTTAAGGTGTTTAGTTAAATTAATAAACTTAAGGGATTTAAAAGTAATTAAATAAAATATAATAGTATTTTCATAATAGGGAAATGTGTATTTTGGAAATGACAGGAATATGATACAGCAAAAATAGGGAAACAAACGGCACCCATTATAATTTTATAACAAATATATTTCCTTAAAACCCCTCTGGATCATTGTATAACAATAAGCTACCCTTCAACAAGAAATCTCAGAAGAGCCCCCATCTCTCAAAAGATTGTCATTAGCACATCTATTGGCTTTGTAGTGTCGCTGGAGGCCTCCAAGGCCTTGCGGTAGCTGCTCAGGGCCATTGGAGGCCTCGCAAAAGTCCTTTGAGGCCCCAGGAGGCCTCACAACAATTGCTCAACCCATAAAGGCTTTACGGTGACACCAATTAAGGTCTCTTCGTGGCCACTCGAAGTCAAATCTTATCTCTATAGGCATTGAGAGGTCAGATCTAGCCTTTATCGGTGACGTAAAGCCTATGTTCGGCCTCTTGATGCCGATAAAGGCCATATCTAGCTTCTAAGCAGTCAATAAAGGCCATATCTAGCTTCTAAGCAGTCAATAAAGGCCAAATTTGGCCATAGGATATGCCCTTTAGGCCGTTAACAACTGTGAGAAAGGAAGAAAATGGGGAGAAGGTGGGAGTGGAAAGGGTTAAAGAAAAAAAAGAAGGGGAAAACAGAGAAATATTCTAGGGATTTATTGAAAAGTTGAAAGGTCAAGAATACCCTTCTTTAAAAGTGAAAATATCAAGTTTACCTATCTTCAATTAACTTTAACGGAATAGAGGTTAAGGTTGCATTTCCCATATATGGGGAACCTAACTGTTTATTCATGATCTACATGGAGTTTTCCGTAAATATATCTTTTGATAACTTTATCCGAAAGTAATCCAATACATCATGCACTTATCGCATTGCATGTACATTTCCAATATCTGACCTAAACCGCCCTTCAAAATATATAAATAACCATTAACCTTTTGGATATTTCGGTAAATCATCATTTCTACACTGCGGCACGTAAACTGTAATTCATTGTAGCTCTAAACCGCCCCAAAATGGTAACAGAATTACATTCCAATATCAAAGCCATAACTTTATCAAATCTTTTATATAATTATTGAATTTAATACTTAAATCAGTGCATAAAGAATTTCGGATATTTTGTTTCTATGGTTTCTTCTTCAAGCAAGCATACATTTCTTCAACTTGAAGATGCTTGATTTTCCCTTTTTCTTTTTCTTCTTCATTCAGTGCTCGATTTCTCTAATTGTATAACAAGTGTAACAGATGGCGAGAGTTAACAATAATCAAGAACAAGTCTCAATACCTATCGACTATGAGGAAATAGCAGATGTGAATTCTTTGAGTGACGACGCCAACTCTGCTTCTAATCCTTTCGGATTTCTAACTAACAATGGAATGATCAAGATTGAAGAAGAAAGCTGGTGGCATATCTTTGTCAAGAATTCGTTTCTTTTTGGCATGGGACAGCTGGCAATCGACACAAGAATTGTCGCTATACACAAAAATTCAAATTGTGGCTTAACAGGAAAAGCTCGTTTGATGTCTTTCACTATTTTCTACGACGCCGTGGCAAAGAAGTGCGGTGGTAATGCCAATATCTTACAAGCCTGGTACGGTGCTTCGAGGGACGAGATTAATGAAATTGTCCGTCATGGATTTAGCCCGTGTAGTAAGGATTCATCCTATGGCGGTGCCGTTCAATTGTTTCCCCTCAAACTTTCTCTTAGTAGGTAATTAAGTTTCAATTATCAAATTAATTTACTTGACTTGTTCAGCAACTCAGCTAAATCAATCTTTTTGTCAAAGAAACAGAACATAATTCTGATAACATTTTATGATTGTACAGCGCATTAACGACAGAGATGGATGAAAATGGATTAAGGCATGTATTGTTATGCCGCGTAATATTGGGGAAGATGGAAGAGATTGCTTCTGGTTCCAAACAAATTCATCCAAGTTCCAAGGAATTTGATTCTGGGGTGGATAATATTGTAGGGCCTACTAAATATATTGTGTGGAGTTGTTACATGAACTCTCACATCCATCTTGATTACATTGTGAGTTTTAAAGTTTCCTCTAGTGAAGGTAATTAAGCGCTGTAATATGTATGTAGCTCTCTCTGGAAACTCTTTTGGGTGAGATGCTTTAGAATATGCTGCTGAACTCTGTTTTATTTTTATGTACAGGTGTCGTAAGACCTCAAGGGAATGCCATTAGACCATCTTCAAGGGATAGAGCGATTCAACATGTAAAGGATATAGTTTCAAGGCTATTACATCCTTCTAAATCGCCTCTCATTGCCAAACACTATAATGATTTTCAAGTATGTATACTGCATTATGTGTAATCTCACTTTTAATTTCATTTTCTATTACTTTTAACCTTAATCTGTACAAATATGTTTGATCACAGAATGGAGAAATTACGTTTAAACAGTTTATCCAAAATTTGAAGCAAGTAGCTGGGGATAAGTTTTTATTGGCAGTGTTCAAACTTTATAAGCACGAGGTATGGATTGTGGAATCTTTTCTTTGACTCATATTATCTATTTGATCGTATTTGTTGTTTGAAGCTTCCATTGGGATAGCTTTTATCTGGTGGGTATTTATAAATTATCATAATAACATGTCAAATTCTTAGTAGAAATCAAAGGATAATAGTACAGAGAGACTTTTTGTTTATTGTCAAATGTTGAACACTTGCAGCCATTGATGTGCTGCAATTTTTAAGTATTTTAGAGAAATTTGTCAAAAGCCTAGCCTGCCACTTTTTAAGGTTTGATATCGAAACTCAACTTGAGGATCGGAGGGTGACAACAAACATTTTTATTATATGATTCCTCCTTGATAAATAATACAAAACTATAACGAATCAATGACTTAAGTATGATAAATACCTTGAGTCTCTCAAGTCTTACTAATCAATCAATCTCATTGATAACCTATAAATTCTTCTTTATCATTTTTTTGTTTGCTTGTCTTTGGTTTTCTTAGGTGATTAGGTTAAAATTAGGGATTTCTAATTAGAAATTGGTGTTGTGTAGTTGGTTCAATTGAACAACAGCAGCAACTGACAGTGGGGGAAGAAGAATATGCACATGTTAAGTAATGACTGATGTTATTGTTACAAAAGTAAGTGTAAGTTGGCTTTTTGGACTTCAATCTTAAGCGTAAAGAAAAACTTATGGTAAGTTTTGTTTGACAAATAGTGTAGATGTTAGAAACGATTTGTGATTGACATCAAATTTAGTAATTACTATATCATGACTACTACTATTTCAAAGTGTTCACAAGGGACATGATTGACCAACTTTTCTGGCCCAAAGCATAAGCCCAATCAAAACTCTGCCTAAATTTTGGGCTTTAATATGAATGTTGTGAAAGACTTTAGCCCATTAAATTATATGTATCCTTAATTACCAAATACACTGTTATTATAAATTTTTTAATAAAGAGCAATGCTGTTTTACAAAGACACATATAAAGGGACATAACAAGATAATTTTTACCCTTGATTTTTATAATTTCTCTTTTCTCCTCTCTTTTTTCCGTTTTTTCCTTTTTTTTTTTTTTTTTTTTTTATGATGTCACTTTGTAACCCTCTTTGTATGGGTCTTTGTAAGATATCATTTTTCTTAAATAAATCTCTTCAACCTCATTTAATACCGACAATAGCTGTACTAATTAGGTAATTATGGTTTTTTGTTACACCACTTTTTCCTAATTTCAAAATTAATTAGGTTTTGTTTTAACCAACTTTCTCTAATTTTAAACTTAATTAAAGTTTTTGTTTACAGCATTTTTACCAAATTTCTTAATTGGATTTTTTTTTTTTTTCTGTTTATACACTTTTTTCCCAATTTTAAATTTGAAACTTACTTTTTCTTCTTTAAATCCAAATTCATCCTATTGTGTGATTATTTTCTCCGTAAGTTTAGTAATATATTTTCATCAAACAAATAAATTGCTGAAATTAAAAAATTATTTCAATAATTTAGAAGAATTAGAGTAAAGGTCGAGGTAAGAACAAAAAGTTAAAAATTAAGACAAAAATATAAAAAAGGGTATGAGTATGTTTAGAAATTATTATATTATTTCTAGTAATTTTCTAAAATTTTCAAAATAAAAAATAATATATTTAAAAGTGGGGATACTTATCAATTTGTTTGGTGGAAAATTAATAGTGTTTTTGAAGGTTTAGGTTGGTTGTCTTTTTCTTTTTTAAGATACAAGGTAAGAGTTTGTATGGTATTTCCATTGATGTTCTAAAATAATATGAACATGGACTCTGATACGTCTATCAATCACATCTTTAATTTGAATTGGAAAGAATGGACTTCATGAGATCTTACCATCCAATGCTAACTTTTTACCTCATCTTATATTTCAAAAGGCATAGTGTTAATGTACATCAAATTTAAACCATCCAATGTGTCCTAAATCCAATGGTTATTGTGGGGATTGCCCCCAATAACAAATACAATGGTTGGTTTTAAGTCAGCGTTATAACAATAATAAATTTCGTGCTATGTTGCTTCAATCTAACATGAAAGTATTTTGGTTTTACCAAGAAAAAGTAGAGCTCCCCAGAGCTAGTCCATTGGTTTAGTGATTTGGTAACCGGCCAAATTTACTTTTGATTTAGGTCAAAACTAGATGAGGTGAAGAAGGTTGGGATAAATTTCTGGCACCTGCCAATAGCAGCTTTTACTTGTTTGTTTCCATACACAAACACAATTAGAAGAATATCGGAATTGTCAATCAACTCTTTGTCTTTGCATCACAGCTGACTCAGTCACGTCGTCATTCTTGATTATTTTATCATATTTTAAATTACCTTTGAATAATTAATACTTTTACTTGACTTATTTTAGGCATTTACCCATAACCACCCAATATACAATATAGACTGGCTCAATCATTTCATTGTTAATGGCTTACCAAAACGATTGCCCACGTTTTTCTTCTTTTTTTTTTTTTTCTAAGTCTTCAGTTAGGAGTTTACCACTATTTTTTTATTTCGGAAAAATCTTTGCGCTGTGGAAGTTTGAATTTTTAACCAGATAAGCTAAATTAGTTTTATGTAATTATTTGCTATATTCAATGGAGTTTATTTGAATTTTTTTTTCGTAAATGTTGAATAGTTGAGTTCTGTAGAATGTCCTATTATATATTTTTATTAATCATAACGGTTGAATTCCCTATCAATGAGGACATTAATGGATTTTAAATAACATTAGGTAAAAGTCTAACATTAATATATAAATTTAATAAAGTTTGTATATAGGCTGATACCAGAATATATATATATTTCTTAGAGTCTGATTCTCCCTTGACACATATATAAAAAGAAAGATTATATAACTAAGAAAATAGAGAATATACATGAAATAACGATTAAATCAATGAGACACATGGGAATTGGAGAGAATATTATTAGCATTTTGTGTAACATAAATGCAACCAACGACTGCTGCCACCACCGAAACGCTAAGATAACAACGGATGAGTGTATGTGTACCCAAACACCACTCATACTAATTTGCTATAAATACGGTAACACCCACCTGCCAGCATGGAAACCCCAACCCAATAAATTGGTAATTAATGAAGTAACATATTCTATCGTTTTCAGTTAATTGAAAGGTATAGTTAGCTTAATTATATGAATTTTAATTAGGTTCACCAACGTTTTAGTTTATTGACTTTCCAAGCCATTACATCACCCCTGATGTCTATCCCAAATATCCTTAAATAAGTGAATAAAATAATAATAATGACGGCTAACATACCAAAACGAATCACATTGACTTTGACATTCAACTATTCAGAGGTTAAGAAGATGAGAGACCTTCTAGAATGAAAATCGAATGGGCAGCCCTTCGTGCGCAAGTATTGACGTGTTTGTGTTGGTGTTCCTTGTCATTCAAGTACCACAGATTTGAAAGGTCCAAATAAAATATATTTTTGTTATCAGCCGATAATACCAATATTTCGCCTAATAACGCGCTTTACCATTTGTTTCCGAGCATATAAAAGGCAGTTAAATTGAACAAGCTCTGCTAAGACTTCAGAATCTTAAACAGCTTTTCTCTCTCTCCAAAACCGAACAAAATGCAAGTACTCGTTTCTGCTGGAGAAAACACAAATATTTCCGACAAATTTGCTCAAGATTTCGCCGAAAGGCTAGAAATCAACTCTAATGAAGAAGAACTGGAACTAGATGAAGGTGAAGAGGAGTTTTCTTTCGTTTGTGTGAATCCTGAATCTCCGATTGCAGCGGATGAAGCTTTCTCTAACGGCCAGATCCGGACGGTATTTCCGATTTTTGATCAAACTCTGCTCTATGATTACATTAACAATGACGGTGATGTAAAAATCGACTCATCCTCCTCTCTACGACATCCGTTAAGGAAACTTTTCGTCGAGGAGCGATCTAATGAGGAGGCCGAACCGGTCGGTCCGTTCTGTGAATGGTCCTCGAGTAAAACCCTGAAGGAAGCTTCACCGGATTCTTGCAAGAAGAGCAACTCCACAGGTTTCTCTAAACTTTGGAGATTCCGAGAGCTCGGTATTCGAAGCAGCAGTGATGGTAAAGACGCGTTTGTTTTCTTGGACAACGGTAATAACAATAATAGTAATAAAAGTGAAAAGCCAGAGAAAGAGAAATCTTCAGTGAGCACGACGAAGGTTGAGAAAACGAGTGGAAAGAATAAAAACGAAAAAGTTAAGAAGGTGAAGGTGGAAACGGTGTCTTCTATGTACGAGAAGCATTACTTGAAAAGAGAAGGTGATAGGCGGAAGTCGTATTCGCCATATCGACAAGATCTGGTTGGCTTCTTCACCACAGTTAATGGTTTGAGCAAGAACGTTCATCCATACTAAGCATTTTGGAACCCTTTTTTTTGGGGCTATATTAATTATTTCATTTTTACATGTAAATTTGTTAATATAAGTTGAGGAAAGTGTTTGGATCTGTTGTTTTAAGGTTCCGCATAACACATATAATGGAGATTTTGTATATCAGTCAGTAACTGTAGATTAATTAATTTATTTTTATATTATGTATTCGTTGCAATGCCTCCTATCAATTATATGAATTTTGGGGTTTTGATGATATACTATTTTGGGCACATTTTCAGATTAAATGTTCTCAGTTTTGTCTATTGCTTCGAACGGATAGCTAGTTTTTCTTTATTTCTCTGNCTAAGCATTTTGGAACCCTTTTTTTTGGGGCTATATTAATTATTTCATTTTTACATGTAAATTTGTTAATATAAGTTGAGGAAAGTGTTTGGATCTGCTGTTTTAAGGTTCCGCATAACACATATAATGGAGATTTTGTATATCAGTCAGTAACTGTAGATTAATTAATTTATTTTTATATTTTGTATTCGTTGCAATGCCTCCTATCAATTATATGAATTTTGGGGTTTTGATGATATACTATTTTGGGCACATTTTCAGATTAAATGTTCTCAGTTTTGTCTATTGCTTCGAACGGATAGCTAGTTTTTCTTTATTTCTCTGTTTTAAATATATTTTAAAGAACAAACAGGAAAACCATAATTTAATTTGACTAATGTGCACCCTCATGGCAGTATGTGAACTTGACTAATGCGCAACCTTCCGACACATCATGTAAAATAAGTTCAAAAAAACAAATAGACAGATTTTTCTTCCACCAATTTTGTGAAATGAATTCAAATTTTATCCACCCTTTCTAATCCGAAAATTGTAACACTCATCACTTTTTCTCACAAACTTTCTTTTACAATTTCGAAGTGACAGTTCACAATTAGTTCACAACAATTTATCAAGTGAGATCTAAATAAAACTCATGATGAATTAACCAATTGCGAACTGTTACATTAATGTTGTGAGAAAAAATTTACGAGAAAAAATGGTGAGTGTAACATTTTCCAATAATCCAGGTAAAACTTAACAGCAGCCTTAGTCCTTATGTGTCGGCGAGCGCTTTTTGGAAGCGGGTAGGAGTTCGTTTCTCCCCAAGGACTTAGGAAAAGCATGTAGCGAAAGCACTTGTGTGTAAATTGAAGAACGTGATGTCAAATCCAAGTATTTGTTTTCATGAAACTTCTTTCCTTTTTCATCATGTGAAAGAGCTTTCCTTCTTTTTGAAAATAAGTAAACATTAAGGAGTTGTCAAATCCCACAAGTAGATAAAAGAGTTGCGTTCCTCTCTGCAAAAACTTGATCACAGGAACTTTAACAGACTTTAACTAAAGGATACCAATGAACGAGGATATATGATACATGCCATATCATAAAAGCCTGCATTAATTGATTCCTATCAGCTAAATAATATTCTAAATAATCCCTCAAACCGAAAACATATACTGTCAACAAACAATTTATAAATGCATAATTTATTCTAATTAATCCCGTCTTCATTGATTTGAAAGTACTCAGCTGTCATTTATAATATTTGCTGTGGATGTTTATGTTACCTCTCAATGACTTGGCGTGCATGGTTACGAGCAAAAGCACCAACTTTAAGCACTCTGGAAAATGCACAAAATTTCTACCCTGTACACATGTTGCTCTTATACCTGAGGGTAAAATCTGAAAAGGCTGAACAAAGTAAAGTAAACCAAGAGCAACTGGTTCAGGGTTTTCTGCTAAGACTTCATACACCTGCACTTGAATGCACTAATGATAAGGCAATTATAATGCAACCAGGCATAACAAGTTGAATAACAGTTGCTTACCCTCTTTATTATCATGATGATCCCATGTTATTTACAGTATCCACATATACTTAAACAAAGCATATTTACAGTATCCACATATACTTAAACAAAGCATAATTCCTTTCTAAACTTGTGTATCAGCAATATAGTATAACAATGCCCCAGCTGACTCTGTCATCAGGTGAAGTTATAATGCAAATAAGGCACAACACACATAAATCATAGTAGAGGTGTGTCCTCATAGTTAATTCGTTTTTAAGTTAAATACATTACCATTGAGGTATTTCCAATACCCCGCCAAACTTTGGTCAAAAGTAACTTCAGCCATATCCCTGTTCACTTGTACTGAATAATCTTCTCTCTTGCATATATTACATGCACACCTACATTTGTTGACACAGTGACAAATCAGCGTAAGTCAAAGATTTCAAACCTCAGATTTGAATTTCTGTAGACATTAGAGCAGTGCTCATAAATGGGGCTCCCATCAGCTGGTTCTTTGTGAGGATGGAATTCATTCTCTTGGCAGTTTTTCAGTACACTCATACCACCAGGATCAGTAAGCCGAAATATTCCAGAGCTTCTGAGGGACATGCAGATTGAAGTTTTAGTATGAGGAACTCGACAGCAATTTATTAAAATTAGAAACCATGTCCTAGCAATGAAGATTTGCCTGCATTTACACAGTTAATAGAATCTTGTTCTTGGTATCACATGAATAGATGATCATAGAAACATAATCATTAGACATATAGTGGCACTAGTAAGCGGTGACATAATTCTTGTCAAAGAAAGCAAATGTAAAGGGGAAGCCAAATAAGACATTTCCAAGTGGTGAAAAGAAAAAACAACATGCTTGACCTTTAATTCACTGCATGGCCTAAATAGAGATGTTAGCAGATAAAAGATGAATGGAATTTTGGACACTTGCATCAGCAATTTGAACTATAGGAAGTACACAGTTTCAAAATAGAAGTTGATAGCTACTGAACTGTAGTGTAACAGTTGCAGACCTTGAGGAATCAGTTGGAGCCACGACAATGGCAAAAGCTTCAGGTACCATTACCTGAAATGACCAAAAGGGAAAAGAAATTAAAAAAAAAAAAATGTAATATTAACCTCATTACCTTAAAAGGAAACAAACTGATGAGACCTGTATGCCATTCTGAATTTAAAAGTAGTCATTGAAAGAACTCAAAATCGTGTACATCTTATTTGTAGTGACAAATTTACTAAATAAAGATTCAAATATTAGAACAAAAATGAGTTGACTAATTAACAAATTAGCTAATATGTAAATAAGCAAGGTGACTTGGGAACTCTTGGATGTATACGTTATTATATCTGTCACTCACTTTCCATGTGTACCCACAAATTGGACAAATTATTAACAGTTACCTATTATGCTATCATCCTCCAATAAATAGAAAGAGGTCTGCTCGAAGGTCCTTCTAACACCAAGGTAATTCTCCACTAAGTTGTAAATGGAGGAATTAAATAAGTCACACTTATCAAGTATTGTTTATCAAACAGTTATCACAATCAATATATGTAAAGAAGTCATTTAAAAATTTACCATATTCATGTAAAAACTACTCAATCATCTGAATTTAAATGTTACTTCCATTCAGAACATAGAGATAAATAGTTTTCTCCTATAAATCGATGTTCAATATGGTGATTTATGGCAATCTTGCACAAGATGATATGCTTACAAAGGGATAAGATAAGATAAAATGAACGATATGAAATTCCTATCAATGATAAGGTTCATTCATGAGGCAGTTAGTTACCTGATATGAGTAGTGAGTATGCAGATCTATTGATGACATGAAACAACTTTGAGAAGGATGTGTCTGAAAAACAGAAATAAAAAAGACAAAGTGTTAACGTCTGTTTGACAGTTTTCTGAAGCTTACATTTGAGAGAAAGACAGTAAAGTTCAAAATGGGAAGGAGCAGAGGTAAAAATGGAAAAGATTACACAAAGAGAGGTATACATGAATCCATCCCACAGGAAAAAGAGACCGTTCATTTTGTATGGCAAAAACTTCCTCCTCGTTTACAGCTTGACACTGCCACTCAGTATAATTTAATTAGCTACCAGCAGTAAAGAGATTCAGGTCATCTAAAAGCACTGACAGTGAAATCTTCTTGATCTAGAAAAGGAAATGCTCAGCAAGACTCACAGAATTGGAAGTTGAATCCTGTTTGGGTATTATCAAAGTGGTCACATAGAAGGTCCCATTTTCCTGGTTACATGAAGAAATGGTTTCATGTAAATAATGTATCCTTTCAAATTAAAAGGAATAGAGTAAAATGGAAGCCAAAGAACATATAAGTTGCTCTCTCATGGCCACCACAAGTCTTATCCTGTATGGTGGACAGGCTCATTCACATAGGGCAAGAAACTCAAGTACCACAGTAATGAGCATAGGCACCTTATATAATGTTACCAGAGCCACCTAGATATTATGCTGGTTGTATGAAAACTGAAATTATTTTATAAATTAGGTACTTAAGATCAGTGATTAATACAATACTGGTAATGGATTTACTCTGGTAAAAGCTCATCAATGATAACATCAATCAGAATTGTAAACTGGGGTGAAGATTAGAGGTGTATGCATAACATCAGTGCCAATCCAGGTCCACATTACATATTACATAGTTCTACACAGGCCTAGTTCAAGGCTTGATGTGAAACTTCTTTTTCCTCCTTTGATGTTTGGCTTGGCATGAAACATTTGTACGTTTGGCTAACCAAAATCCACTCTAATGAGAAACACCTAACACTAGTTTACCTACTTTACTCATAATCCTTATACATTTAATAAATTTTGATGCTTGTGTCAAATTTTTAACCTTTCTAGCCAAGAAAAGCAGATTTGTGAGAAAAAAATCTAAAAGAGCAAGCAAAACCCGCAAAATGAATATCAAGAATAAAGAGACCACATGCAGAAATGTCACTCAAGCCAAGCGAAGAAAAGGATGCATGTGTTTTTTAAATAAAAAAACTCTATTAAATGAATGAGCCAATAACTAAGCTTTCTTTTAGAATATATTGCGTGCAACGCTGGTAAGATAAAATGGTGAACTTCAGTTCCAAATTCATGAAAGGAAGCATGTATCATACAAGAAAAGCACCGAGAACCCCACAGGTTTCCAGATCCTTATCTGTGTTGTCTTTTGCAAGTTCAAGAAAATCTTCCGTCAACTGACCAGACTGAGAAAAAAACATGACATTGGCTTATCAGCATCAGTTTTTGAAAGTAAATACATGGTACTCCACATATTCCTGCTTTGGAAAGAAGCATATGGAGCTGGAAAATGAAAAAAGTAAATTTTTAGACAAGTTAAAATGCTTAGACAAAACTTACCATTATGAAGACCAAGTATGTTATGTTACATTGCAAAATAATGATGTTGAAAAGGTCAAGAAAAAAGTAAAGCTCCTGAGTTCTTACTATATGTACATCTCGCAAGACATTAGATGATGATGGGCCTGATGGCTCACTGTGCGACCTTTTATCTGAATCATCTACTGTAATATGTGTAATGCACGCACCTTGAGGTACACTCTCTATGAAGGAAAGTACAGCAGAAGGAGAAGACTGAGTAACAGCATGAACAGTGACACGCAGCCTTGGGCTCCCAGATTTATCATCATTCATAATCTTCAAGCTGTAAAGAAGACAAACAGAACATAAATCGATTTGGTTCACTAGATAAAGAAGCTTCTTCACAGCAATCAACTAAGGAAATCATTAGATTTCCTGCAAGTTGACATACAATCTTGAACAAGAGAGATGCAATACCTTTGACATCTAGTTTTAGCTGTACCACAACTTTCAACCTGTGTGATAAATTACAGACAATGAGAAACCTGTGATCCATAAATATGAACACAAGCTTCATGTCCTCAAGTGTCTCACAAACCAACTTTTTGAATAACTGTCCTACATTTCATAGTGATGAACAGTCCCATTTACATCTAAAAAAGGACTACAGATGAAGGAATATTCTCCCTGAAAGTTCTAAATATACCAAAATTAATAAAGATTAAGGACTAGGTTGTTTGGATCCTTTGAAAAGATAGAGATGACAGTGAAAATGCATCCACAAACAAGTATGAAAGAATCATAATAGCATAACAAATTTCAAAATGCTTTGGTAAAATTTAAACTGTTTGACATTGGAAATTCATTCAATCAATCTCAAAAAAAATTAACGATAAAAAAAAGATTAGGCTCTTCATACCAACTAGAAGAAATGAGGATTACTGAGAAAAAGACATTAGAAATGATGATGAAAGAATATAGAACTCACAAGATTAAAATAACTCAGAGGAATTTAAGACATTGATCAATGGTTTTCTTTGGTTGATTATATCATAAAACATTTAAGTTATTCAATCTATTTTGCAAGCTAGTAACAAATACAAGTACATCATGCAATTCCATCACTTTTATAGTATTATTCAATTAAAACTTATCCACAGCAACAGGTTTACTTTTACCTTCCTCTTACTTACATTCAAAGAAGCATTGGCTTCCTGAGATCCTGAATTATGGCCAGCAGATGGTTCCTTTCCTTTAAAAAACTGGTACATCTGAACGAAATCATAAAATCGCATCTATTTCAATAACCATGTCTCGAAAAAAAAAAAAAAAAAAAAAAAAAAAAGAAAACACTCTAATAGTAGAAAATACCTAACTGAACACAGATTAATTGAAAACATAAGAGATTATGTCGCAAAAAATTCCAGTACTAGCCATTTTAATTCTAATGTGAAAAATGTGGTTCCTTCGTCGTTTCTTTTTCTGTCCTATATATCAAGTTAGAAAACTTTTTATGTAATTATGCATACAGTATAAAACTCCAGCATACATGAAAACTACAATTTAATCCTTTGTTTTCTTCGCTGACGCTTAACATAAAACGACTACATTCATGGAATTTTGTACCTTGTAATAATAACACTCTTTTGTAGAATTGGTTGAGTTACGGAGCCCTGACCTTGGAAGGAAGAAAATTCAGTTAGTTAAACCAAAAGGAAAGTAAAAGCCAGGTGAAATCAAGATACGCATCAGTACATATTAAACTTAGAAGCAAGAGATGCCATTTATAGGCTCATTTCTTTCAGAAAAAAAAAATAATAATAATCAAAGAAGCTAATTTTCCCCTTCAATTCAATCAAAATCATCGACAGGCTCAACTGCTACGCAAAACAGACACGTTACATTAGGACAAGACGGCGATATCTGATTACAAAAAACAAGAGGGAAAAGGATAAACCAATAGTAAGAGCATCATCATAGACTCATGAGAACTAAGAAAAAGAAACTCATACCTGAAAAATCTGTTAACCGAAACACTGATTATTCGATGGATATTTGATTGTGGTCAAAGATGAGTGGTAATCGGGTGTGAGAATCTGCTCGTGCACAGTGCTGCAACTAAGCACGTATTGTTCGGTAAATGATCCGGGTTGGCGCTAATCCCACCTCAAATACTGTCTAACCCATTTCCCAACAACCAATCCCTTATGGCCCAAAAAGGCTCTTCGGCCCAATAAGGCCCAGCATAGAGACTGGGTTATTTTTTATTTTGTTTTTATAATAATAGATGAGATGCAATATAACTTATTAGATAAAAGATAATAATTACAGCTCGTGTTTAAGTTTATATATGACCTTTATGCTTTCTGCTTATCGGATTCGGAGCCAGTGCTTTGTATTAAATGATGCAAAAACTTAGCTTGTGTTTCCTAATGTTTTTGTTTTTTAAATGATCAAAAAGACAGTTTTTGAAATAAGAAACTCTTCAAAACATAAAATTAGACCTGGTAAAATGGGTTTGTACCCGTGGGTAGACCCGTATATGTCCAGAAAATATAGGATACCGATCCACCCTTTATAGAACTATGAAAATTAGCCCTATCCCTTTTTTTTAATAGATGAGCCAGGTAAACCTACGGGTACCTACATAATTTAAAAAAAAAAATTAATTAAAATTTTCTTAATCTATTCTACACGACCCGTCACTCAGAGATACACTTTCGTTTTAATTGTTTAGCTACAATACAAAAACTATTTTAATACGGAAAAAGCATTTCCGTCTACAGAAAATAGCTAACCACAAGTTATAGCCAGCTCGCTACTCATATTGACATCAACAGAATCTCAATTGAAATGACCTGAAAATATCATGCAGTAGTTTGTACCGTGCAAATGCATAAGTGAAAGTTCCTATATTTAACAAAACAATCTGATCATTTGAAATTTAATTACAGAACTACATACACTGTGCCCAATTTTATCCACAGAGATATCTTTCAAGTTGGACGCCATATCTTCACAACATCATAATTTTCTTTTTGATTTTTGTTTGACACTCAACTACAATTGTTGTTAATCTCCAAAGTCCAATCCACCACTAGTTTCTTACATTGTGTTGTTTCTCAGCCACTCACCAGTTCTAATTGTATCGTGTACCATCAACTGTTCATCACGCAATCTTTCCTGAATTAATGACTATGAAACTGCTCTGGGCATGGTAACACAAAACGGCTGGGAAGGTACTGATGATTGGATGGACCACCCGTCATTGGGTACATCAAACATGCTTGTCCTCATCCCATTTCTGGGTTCCGTTTCTGTTCTGACATTGTTTTTATGCCACCATGGCAACACCCTGTCACATTTTAATTCAGAGGTAGATCTGAGGTCCTTCTCATAGGTACTTTTATTAGATGGCTGAGCAACATCCCAAGGCTGTTTAACAACAAAGAAACGAAAAGAACTCAGATAAGTAACCAAATGTAAGAATATTTATTTAGTTACTGTAATAAAAGGAAGATATTATTTCATTTGGGCTGCTGCCATTCAAAATCCTTTTGTTGAATAATGTGCTCAACAATATGTCACAACCTACATCTACAAAAATTTAATAAAAAGGTTTACCTTAATTCTCTGAGCCATGCCGGGATTTGGCAGTGGTTGATCTGGGTTTGGGGGTGAATCATTAATCTCCTGAAATTGACACCAGACTCCAAAGTAGGTAGAAAGAAAGTCTACAGAAAGGTCAAAGTTCAAGGTTCAGAAACAAGAAGTAGGCTTACTTTTATGCCAGGAGGTATTTCCCCTCTTTGTATCATTGACAAAATCTGCAAAATAACTGGTTTAATACTCAAAAGTGGTGTTGAAGGATAAGAATAGTAAAATATGTGAAGGCTTGGCTGAAGAAAATGATATGGGAAGAGTACGACTAACCTAAGGTTATTTTAGTCTTTATTTTAACTATAATAGGGATTTATTTGTCAAAGTATCCTTAGATTTTGTTTATTCTTTTTTAATGAATTGTTTTAATTTTTTTTGTTTCTTGTTTAATTAAGGACTCGGATTCTATTTCAGAAGCCTACAAATACAAGCTTATATTATTATTGTTGACACGGTTAATTGATTATGGAATAAGAATAATGGTTTTCTCCCCTATGGATTATTGGTTTCTTTCTTCAGTGCTAACTCTTCAGGATTTCCCCCTTTCTTGCTATTCTTATATCCTTCTATCTTCTCCCTGTTTCTCTAAAATCTATCTTGTTCTTCTTCTGGTACTCTATCAGGAAATGCCATGAATCACCACTCAAACATGTATAAAATCCATAAAACTTATTACCTCCATACAGGACTTGGGGTGTTGGCCAACAGAAGACCTCATAGATGCAGGTGCCGATGAGGGTATCACTGTAACAGAGACTTCAAGCATTAGACTATAAAAAATTGGTAGAACTGAATATCCATTAATAAGAATAAAAAACATTAACGTAAGCACTCCAAATGAAAACCTGAGCTGCCAAAATTTGATACACCATTTGCTTTCACATTCTGAATGAAAAAGAAAGAAACAAGGTCATGAGAACTCAGAAACTCAAAGCACCGAAATTGGATATATAGCACTTCAACTGTAAGTATAGTTTACCATTGAATTAGCAAGAGACTTATGAGGATCTTTGCTGTCAAAAACAGGGCTTTTTTGTGGTGCATTATCTGGTCCGATTGCCAACACACAAAGAATAAGTTACAAAAAGGCTCAAAATATTGTCAACCACCTAGCACCTATTACAACAAAAAGGATGGTACCTCAGCACTCACAGTTGTTTACATTTAGACTAGAAACAAACTACTAAAAGCAGGTAACTACCACCAGGTGTTTACATTTAGATAATGACTTCAGCATTTATATGATTATCCTAATACTGAACCACATTGTAATTAAAGACATCGATCTTCACCAACATATGTGGTGGGTCAACAGGGTTTCTCAATTTACTTAACATGGTGAAAAAACTCCATTTGATGTGAAACCCTAAAGACTTGGGGTCAGGCTGCATCTGAACCTCAAAGATGCAAAGATCGGAAAAGAAAAAGAATCAGGTCTCCTTGCAGCCTGTTTCTCAGAAAATGGGAAAAAGAAAACAAAGAAAGAAAAAAAACTAATCATTCAGATTGTAAATTATATTGCTAACAAATCATAAAGGCTGATGATTAGTGGCATTGTAAAAACTATCCAACTAATTTCTTAATTTGTCAATAGCAGAAGTCGCAAACCCTCTAATCAATACTGCAACTGAGTCGTACGAATACCATAATAAAACAAATTTTGAATTGGAAACATGAATGGGTTCAAGGAGAACGCATGATAGCATATTCTAGTAGTCCATCAAAATAATTACTACAAAACTGTGCAAAAAGCAATAGGGAATTTTTATGCATTTCTGACTTTGTTCTTAACAGGGAAACCAATGAGAGAAAATAAATAATTTTGGGATATAATATTCGAAATCCACCAATTATTCTAGGAAAATTGAGAATAAAAATGTCCGTAAAATGTGGACATATGAAGCTATAAAAGACACAGTCAAACAAATGAAGAAATATATAACTATGAAGGCACCCAACAATGATGTGTCATTAAACAATATAACAACCTACCATTTCTAGATGTATATGGAAGATATTTTTGTTGCTGCTTGTATGATGATGGAGCAGCCCTCCTTGTGCCTTCCAGCTTCTGGATTGTGTTATTCATTGACCTCAATTCTGCTACTTGGATGTCTATATGCTTCTTTAAGGCCTCAAAGTACTGCCTCTCTGACAAAAAAATAATTCGAGAATCATTAACGTTACAAATAATTCCCATAAAACAATCCTTCAAAAGTTCAGGAGAATTGTGTGAGAAAGAGATGGAAGGAGCTTATTGCAAAAGACAGACATACTATATTGCCGGACAAAAGAAAAAGTCAAATAATAACACCTTTGTTTTTTGAGTTGAACATTTCCATGCTTGCTTTTGCAGCATCAGCAGCTGCAGTGCTGGCAGTCATGGCTGCTGATATAACTTCTTCAAACAAACTTGGTTTTGACTTCTTGGAAGAGCCATCATGTTGGTCTAAAACAACCTTACGTATCCAAGACTTCAACCTGGGAAAAATAAAACTCTAAACAAGGCATATAGCACCGTATGGAAAGACCGGATCAATACTTTTGGAACAACATTAAAGAAATCTAGCTATATGACCTAGTGGTGAAAAATTCAATTTAACTACCTTTAGGAGTATGGCTGCACCAGCACCAGACGCAAAAAGCAAACCCATAACACCAAAGGCATGTGACCAGTAAAACCGGGCTGGTGGAGATGTTGCTAGTGCAGTGGCTTGTGGTTGACTGTTTGTAAATAACTTTAAATGTACATCTGTTTATTATTATAGAAAAGACAAGGATATCACAATGGTGAGTGTGATAAAAAAATGATCAATTTCCGGTGCCTTCTGTGACTACAATCTACTTTGGCAAACCACATTTAAGCACATAACTTCATAGCTGCAACAATTAAATCATTGCTCATTGAATATTAAATACCCATTAATTACTCAAAAATTATGTTAATTTCTTACCTTGATTTGAGGTAAGACTCTGTCCAATCACAAAATCTGAAGGTGTATCCTGTAATTTGCATCCAGTAGAAGAGAGAGAGCTCATAATCACAGGGCAAAAACATTTCACATGATTATTTGAGTTTGTACATAAAAAATTAAAAATTAGTGAAAATAAACAATATGCTTACAGGAACACGGAAAACGCTTCATCTATCTCTTCTTTTGTAAGGCCCTTATTCTCAAGAAAGGAATGCCTAGAGAGAACTGGAGAACTTCTAACTGTTGCATGTGATAGAAACTTAACAGCCATTTGCACCAACTCCTCTCGTATTTGTCTAGGTTTCACAAGTAGCTGTTCTTTTGAAGCTTCTCTCAAGTTATCGCCCTTTAAATATTCACCATCCTTCTCCGTTGCCTTCTCAAACTCTGGAAACTCATTTTCAAAACCAAGCATTAGTTCCTCAACCATATGACCCCTCTATTTTATATACAATCCAATACAATTCTTTATTGTTGAAAACAAGTACATAAAATCTTAAGAAATATGAGTTTGATAGTTTACAAAAACATATTTTGATATTGTTACTCATTAAAATTATAAATAATATAAAAAGTATTTCCAGACACGATTCTACTATCTAGTTTAAAATCTAAAAACAATATTGAAAGGATGCTTTACTTCTTTCCTGTAAGACTGTATCTAAATTATATAAAAATGTATCCTTATTTTTTGAACTTTTTTTGAATCCTGAATCAATTTCTTCCTTAAATAATGCACATGACGAACTATAGCATCTGTCTTGGACTATAAAATTATCTTCAAGACTAGTATCTCTCAAAACTCAGAACTCCAAATATCGCGGACATTCAAAAGAAATATGTATAATTTTTCTATATAAAGATAGAAGATCATATTCATAATTCAGTTACTTTACTCAGCTCAGCAAGATATTGCAATGATTTAAATTAAATCAAGAAATCAATTCATCGACAGAGGCGATGCAAACAATCGGAGAAAAACGAATTCCGAAAAATAAGAGAGAAAAAAGTATCAGAACATGATCGTTCCAAGAAAGTAAATGAATTCTCTAGAAGCAGAAACATTGATAAAGCAAACAGAAGTTTCACCTAGAGCTTTTGGTTTCTCGACTTCTGAGATGTTTGGAGGAGCCTTGGATTCGACGCCCATGATCACTTCCTTCACAATAACATATTGCTCTCGAAGTCGAACAATCGCATCTTGTTTATGAAACAATGCAAAGACGAAAGGAAAATCGAGAAAAATGGGAGAGTAAAACAGTGATCTGGTCGATCGTGCAGGAGAAAGGTGCACAGACGAAAGGGAAAAAGTTAACTATAGTTGACGAAACCAAAGATGGGCCGAGTATTGGGCTTATTTTTGTTTTGAATTAGAGCGGGACGAGAAAGAATCATGAGTATTTTGGGCTCAGATTTATTGAAGGCCCAAAAGTGACCCTCTTTGTCTGCAAAATACTCTGGATTTACCCATGGGTTGTTATAGAAGAATAAAAGGCTCCAACGTCAAACTAATAAAAAAGCTTTATTTTTTAAATTATACAAATAAATTTATTTTTAATTTATTCTTACTTGTGTAGTTATGAGTATTTGATGGCGAAGCAATTAAAAAGAATTTCTTTCAAAATTATCCATGTGTACTTCAAAGCAATCTTCTTCTTTAGGAATTGATTCTTCTTTAAAGATTTCATCGTCAAATTATAGCGGTTCATCATGATCATCAAAATAATCCTTGAAATAATCATCATCGCTAACCACAATTTCATTAGCAGCAATATTTTCAAACTCCTCTTCGTTCGTTGGGATCTCAAATTGCACAAGCCCCGTTGAAGATCTTGAACTTGTCTCCTCAAATTGTCGATCTCTACATCTCGGTGGTCATGTTGATAATCAACAGCATCTTCCCCAAGAGCCACTCCACAACCCCTATCGCGACCTCGTCGACCTCAACCACGATATTATTCAGCCATCGATAACAAACCTAAAGGTTTGATCCAATGATGCTGAAACAATTAAAAAGATAACTGAAATCTCAAGAAACAAATTATATGAAAACCACCATCGAATTTAGGGGTAAGCGGTTCTGGGTACCCTGCACTTTTCGGAGGAACCGGAACCGGAACCGGACACCGCACAGTGCAGGTTCTTCAATTCAAGGAACCAGAACCTAAAATGCAGGTTCCGGTTCCCTTCCCGGGTACCCTATAAAAAATCAATTACCCCTATTAGTTTAAAAAATGACAATTACAATACACCCCTAACAAATTTTGATTATTCATTCATTTGTGTCTAATGTAACTTATAACCTGTAATCTCTAGGCAACACTTGAATTCAATCAATTCATCACAATTCACATAATTCGTCAATCAAAACCAAAACACAAACAATTATTCATCACAATTCAAAATTATAATGTAATGTTATAATTAATTAAGTGATCATACTATAATGTAATGTTATAAATACTTATAGTTATTTAAGTATTTATTTAACATAATGTAATGTTATAATCATTAAATTTCTAATAATTTAATTAATTACTTATGTTTATGTTTTAATATAATGTCATAATATAAGTAATCATTTATTGTGTAATGTTTATATTATTAAGTGATCATTAGGGTGAGCGGTTCCGGGTCCCTGCACTTTTCCGGGAACCGGAACCGGAACCGGAACCGCACAGTACAGGTTCCCAAAAAGGACCGAACCGGAACCGAACCGCACAGTACAGGTTCTTCAATTCAAGGAACCGGAACCTAAAATGCAGTTCCGGTTCCTTTCCAGGGTACCCTGAAAAAATCAATTACCCCCCTATTAGTTTAAAAAATAACAAAAACACCTTATAAGTTTACAAATACACCCCTAACAAATTTTCGTTATTCATTCATTTGTGTCCAATGTAACTCATAACCTGTAATCTCTAAGCAACGCTTGAATTCAATCATTCATCACTTCACATAAAATTCGTCAATCAAAACCAAACACAAATTATTCATCACAATTCACATAAAATACTTCACCCAAAATCATTTAAACAAACACAACATTCTTAATTCTAATTACTAGCATTGCCATTTGCCAGGGGTCTATTTGATAAGTTAATAATTATTAATGTTATATTTTATTAATTTAATGTTATAATTGGTTAATTGGGTATTTATAATATACCAATATAAATTTAGTAAATTTAATATTAGAAACAAGTAATGTTATAATTAAATAAGTGATCATACTACAATGTATTGTAATGTTATAATTAATTAAGTAATATATTATTAATTATAAGTAATATTATAATTAATTAAATTGTTAATCATTTAATTAAGTATTATAAATTGTTTTATAATATGTTATATTAATTAAATAATTTACCATAAATTTATAATATAATGTTATAATTAATAAAATTATAATAATTCGATTAAATATTGTGCAAATTAGTAAATTACTAATGTTTATAATATAATGTCATAATCATTAAGTAATAATAATTATGTAATGTTATATTATTATATGATCTACTTATATATAATGTAATGTTTATAATGATAAGTAATCATACTACAATCTATAATTTAATATTATAATTAATTCAATTTCAAATCATTTAATTAATTACTAATGTTTATAATGGAATGTTATAATTGATTAAGTATTATATTACAAATATATAAGTAATGTTATAATTAATTAAATTTTTAATCGTTTAATTAAGTATGTATAGTATAGTAAATTACTAATGTTTTAATGTAATGTTATAATTCATAACTAATTAAGTAATTATGCAATCATTAACTATATAATGCTTAATTAAGTAAGTGATTGTAATATAATAATAGTAATTTATAATTTAATTGAGTATTATTTAACTATAATGTAATGCTTAATTATATTATAAGGTAATGTTATAATTATTAAATTTCTTATCTATTTAATTAAGTATTGTGCTAATGTTTATGTAGTAATTAGTAATTACTAATATTTAATATAATATCATAACTCTAAAATCAATTAAGTAATTATTTATTATGTAATGTTATATTAATTATATGATCATACATAATAGTATAATGTATTGTTATAATGAATTAATTAACATACTACAAATCTATAATTTAATATATAATTAATTAATTTCAAATCATTTAATTAATATACTAATGTTTATAATGGAATGTTATAATTGATTAAGTAATCTATTACAAATATATAGTAATGTTTATAATTAATTAAATTTTTAATCGTTTATTAAGTAATGTAATAGTATAGTAGATTACTAATGTTTATAATGTAATGTTATATTCATAACTAATTAAGTAATTATGTAACCTTTAACATATAATGCTATATTAAGTAAGTGATCATAATATATGTATATATAAATTATAATTTAATTGAGTAATTATTTAACTATAATGTAATGCTTAATTAATGTTTATAAGGTAATGTTCTAATTAATAAATTTCTTATCATTTAATAAGTATTGTGCTAATGTTTATGTAGTAATTAGTAATTACTAATGTTTAAAATATAATATCATAACTCTAATCAATTATATTATTTAATTATGTAATGTTATATTAATTATATGATCATCCATAAATAATTAATGTAATTTTATAATGAATTAAGTAATCATACTACAATCTATAATTTAATATTATAATTTTCATTTCAAATCATTTAATTAATATACTAATGTTATAATGGAATGTTATAATTGATTAAGTAATCATATTACAATATATAAAGTAATGTTAAATTAATTAATTTTTAATCGTTTAATTAAGTAATGTAATAGTATAGTAAATTACTAATGTTTATAATGTAATGTTATAAATTCATAACTAATTAAGTAATTATGTAATCATTTAACTATATAATGCTATAATTAAGTAATATCAATATTGTAATATTATAATTATATTTAATTGAGTAATTATTTAACTATAATGTAATGCTTAATTAATGTTATAATGAAATGTTTATAAGATAATGTTATATAATTAAATTTTTTATCATTCAATTAAGTATTGTGCTAATGTTTATATAGTAAATTAGTAATTACTAATGTTTAAAATTATATCATAACTCATAATCAATTAAGTAATTATTTAATTATGTAATGTATATTAATTATATGTCATACTATAATATAAATGTAATGGTAATGAATTAAATAGTCATACTATAAATCTATAATTTAATATTATATTAATTAATTTCAAATTATTGATTTATACTATGTTTTAATAGAATGTTATAATTGATTAAGTAATTATTATAAATAATGTAATGTTATAATTAATTAAATTTTTAATCGTTTAATTAAGTAATGTATAATATAGTAAATTTAAATTACTATGTTTATAATGTAATGTTATAAATTCATAACTAATTATGCAATTATATAATCATTTAACTATGTAATGCTATAATTAAGTAAGTGATCATAATATATAATGTAATATAATAATATTATAATTTAATTGAGTAATTATTTAACTATAATGTAATGTTTATAATGTTTATAATGAAATGTTTTAAGGTAATGTTATAATTAATTAAATTTCTATCATTTAATTAAGTATTGTGCTAATATTTATGTAGCAAATTAGTAATTACTAATGTTTAAAACATAATTCATAACTCATAATCAATTAGTAATTATTTATTATGTAATGTTATAACTTTATATAATCATACTATAATGTAATGTTATAGTGAATAAACTATTAAACAATCATAATAAAATTTTTAATGTAATATTATAATTATTAAATTTTTAATCATTATTAAGTTTGTACTAATGTTTTAATAAAGTCATTTAATTAAGCAGAATCAGTTAATGTAACTTAATTAATTATACTATAATCAATTAAGTAATGATAAAATTATAATTAATTAAGTAATCATTTAACTATAATGTAAGTTATAATTGATTAAGTATATATTTAACTAGTAATAAATTTATTAATGTTTATCAATTTATCATATATTTTAATTAATTAACATTTATTATGATATACTTAGAACTTGATAATTGAAGTAAATAACTAAATATATTATTACTCAATCAATATACTATTTTATTCAAAAATAATTCTTTTAATAACATTAAAAATGTAAAACGCTTTTAATTGGATCATAATTCAAATTATTCCTTAATTGATCAAAACTTAATATTAATGTATTATATATTTAAAGCTTTTAATATGGTGTAATTTATATGTAATAAGTTAATTGTATTCGTATATTTATTTATTAGGTTATTCA